TCTTCTGTATTCTGTGAAAATATTTTCATTTAAGTACTTCCGAACGAAAACGTGCACTCAGATTCACAAAAATTTAATTGTGTAATTTATAGGACCTGACTCGTTTTATCTCTGTGTATGCATAGGTAAAATACAGGACATCCACAGAACTTCATCTTACAATGTATTTATATTCTCCTTTCATCATAGCCTGTTCTAAAACACATTTCTATAAATTATCTAGAAATAAATATAAAAAACTGAATATTTCTCAGATGAATTTCTGTTATTTTAATAATATTTGAGAAAATTTCTGTTGAAAGATCTCTCTCTGAAAATCTCAGGTTAACGAGCTTTTTCTTTATTCTACGAAATGATTCAGATTAAAGTACTGACGAGCAGCGATATCTATTCAGATTTGTAGAAAACTCTAGCCTCTCATTTATAAGACCGGATTTGTTTTCCATCTATTCACATTACTGATTAAGTAGAGGGTTTCCACAAAAGTTCATCTGACGATGAACTGATTCTCGGCTTTCATCTTAGTCTGTTCTTAAAATAAGGATTTACATATTATTCAGAAGAAATAATGAACACTGACTAATTTGAATTGGAATTTTTATGGTTATATGAGCAGTAGTCCAATTTCTATGGATTCATCGACTTCTGAAAATCTTAAATTGATGAAATATTCATCCACTGTATGAAATTATAAAGGCTCATATATTGATGAAACACAATCTCTACTCAAACTAGCAGACAAGTGACTCGTGAACTTTTTCCAGTCAATTCGTTTTGCCTTTAGTACTAGCTATGTTGGAATATGGAATTTTCATAAAATTTGATTTAATCGTCGATATATATTTATGTATTACTAGGTATTAAACTGGGAGGTACATATGCTTATTCTAATTTTGGTTTACGATCTGACCAAGCAATTTCAATTACGGATACATAGTTTAGTAGAATAGTTTATAATAAATATAAAAACAATCTGTTTTTTAAACAAAAACAATAGTGATTTGTGTATACATTGTTTGTGCCATTAAGAAATGTAATAATAGTTTTTGGTTATTTATACTCAGTTGAGTGTTGGTTAGGTTTTAAAAAGTAAAACAAAAGGAAAATAGAAACATGGCTATAAAACCACCGACTCCTGTGTGTATTCATTGTCAAATACCTCTGATTTTAAATGGATTAACTTATTTCATGAAAGTTCCATATCGACACATGGAATACGCTCAGTGTGTCATGCTCAGTCCGTTGACTAATGCATCACATCAATGTACAATCTGTACTCAAATACACTCAATCAATAGCATGCAGTTTTAAAAGTAAATCGTATCCCATAGCTCTCTTAAAATATTTCTTGTTTTAGTTAACCCTAAAGTGTACACCTGGGATCCGTCTGGACTCCAACTACTTAGTTTCATTTTGGTGCTATACACACACAATGTTAGATCAAAACACGCCTCTCTAGATATGCTCTAGTGAAGAGTAGTAAAATATGCTGCTGATGTCAGTAATCTATCATCATTAGTTCTTTATGTTGTACACTATCTCGGAATATATATGAACGTTTGTTATCCACCTGGGGTACGCCAGAATCCCATTTTATATCACTAATTTTCGTTCATTCTTCGGTGATAACGCTTTCATTTTTATGTTCTATATCTTTGTTTTCGTTCGTGTAAGAATATTCCAGAGATTCCTGATAAGTTATAGAATGAGTTGATAATTTTAGACTATTCTATGGTTCATATAAGAATAGTTTTGCGAGCGCTCTGTTATATTCTGAAATATCGTACCTCTTTCATATATATAGTCGAGCATTTTCATCGAGAATACATTATACATTACATTCCATATTCGAATATTTTCGGAAAAATATGACCTCAAACAAACGATTGGATTCTAATCAACCAAAACATTGGCATGAATGCGTCGAACGCCTCGATGATGAGTCCAACGACGAAGATGATCATGTGGACAATAATCCCGAAGATCCTGAATGACTTCATAGTCTCCAAGGTAGCTCTGACGAGTCAGAAAACAACGTTCCAATTGAAAAGGATTCCGGAGACGAATCTAATACGAGCTACACTCGAAACTGATAGCACCAGCCACGAAGAACCGCCTAGACGTCGAGCAAAACGTGAAAAACAAATGGAACTACCACAAGTCAACATTTTTACGGCACGATCTGAACGACAATGGACTACAGAAGAGCCTGCAAAACAAAAAGTACCATCAGCCAATATCTTACGACAGCAAAATAGTATTGAACGACCAGCAACAAGCATACAAACTGTCAAAGACGTATTTCAACTTCTAATGACCCAAGAAATGGTTCTTCTTCTACTATCCATTTCAATGGACAATGCACTCGGTTGTAAGTTGAATAACTTCAGAACGAAAGCAGCTAGAGACTTGCGGTTTTCAGTATTCCAAAGAGAATAATATTTTTTATATAGAAATGTCAAATCTGATTAGTCAACAATTGACCAATCAGGAGAATTCTTGATGAGCATTTAAAAACAATATTCCGAAGGCATTTACCATTCGCTTTGGGGTTTTGACATGATCATTCGATAGAGAAAATTGTTCTCTTTCGATCTGCCTAAGGCTGAACTCGCTAGCATATTTTTTTTCAGGAGTTATAAGCATTTTCCCGAGAGCCCCAAATGGCATTTTCAGTGATTTTTTCGACCTTTCATCGAAGTCAAATCGCCAAACAGAGTGTATATTCAGAATCAGCATGCAAAACTACGTCGAATGGCATGTCTTTTAACTTCATTTAATGACTTTCATTTTTTTTCATTTTTGTCACTAAACTATCGTACCACTCTGTGGATCATGGCATACATGGGGAAAAAATGAAAGTCATTAAATGAAGTTAAAAGACATGCCATTCGACGTAGTTTTGCATGCTGATTCTGAATATACACTCTGTTTGGCGATTTGACTTCGATGAAAGG